CTTCGCGTGGCCAGACAGACACGCCCCGCCTGCTGCGCCGCCGCCCGGCAGGCCCAAGCCGGCCGCAGGGTGGAGCGCTGGGCGGGCCGGCGCTGGGCTTGTCTATCTAGCAACCAGCGGTGCACGGGGATGATTTAAACCTAGAGCTCAGTTAAAGTGTCCGTAGGCGCCCCAGAAATAAGCCAGGCTGCAACTGAGCTGAGAATGGCAATAAGCTTTTGTGCCATGTGAACTGCCCCTTGTCAGTCATTGGTGCAACTTCCTCAGCAGGATAAACTCTAATATCGGGGCTCAGGGTTCCTGCGATCCATTTCCTTGTATGCCCCACTGATCCCTTGTGTGGCTTTGAGCAAATCACACAACCACTGGCTGCCTTTGTAAACCGGAAGACTGGTGTGGCACGGTATGGCCATCCTTCCCTCTGTGCCACTGCTGGTGGAAACTCTACCTTCCAAGCTGTGTGGCCAGAGAGCGCCGGCACCCTGCTTTGAAGTCACTGTCAGTCACCACCAGCATCAGCGCAGAAGGAAGTGTAGCAAGCTATAGTAGTGCTACCCTTTCTTCTGAGCTGCTGCTGGCATTGGTAATGTTCTCCAGGGAGGAGGGCTGAGAAGAGATACTAGCATGCCTGTCAACCATCAGTATCCCTTGCATTAAGTAGCAGGGATGGACAATCTATTCGCCCCTGGAGAGTAGATTTCAGCCCGGCACCCCGTTTACCAGCGGCACACACATGCGCAATGTGGCTCTTGCACATGCGCAGTGCGGGGCTGGCGAGCGGCTTTCACCATGGTTCATCAAGCCCTAAGTGGCTATATACTTGTTTGTACAAAGAAACATGTTAAATACCCAGGAACAAAAATATTGTGCTTACATGCCACTTTTATCAGCCAACATTTATACAGCCTTCTATTAACTGTAATATCCTTCTGCCTTATCCTTACTTTCCTAGAAAGGCAAAAATAAAACTTAGCCTCCTAAAAATGCTATGCCATAGAACCTCATCCATCCACTCCTGTAACAGATCCACAGTCTGATTGAGGCTATGTCTACACTACAGAGTTTTTCCAGGATATCTCCTCTGCTGCATCCAGGGAACACATTTGCTCTTCCAAAAATTTTTTTTTGATGTTCCAAAAAAAGGGGGGAGAGGTTCTGACAGTTGGCCCAGTGTAGACTGGCCAAATGTCAGAAAAGCCTCTTCTGAAAAAAGAAGCATGAAAACCTGTGGAAATTGTGGTTTGCAATTTGCATAGCTTTTTCAAGAACAACAGTGTAGAATAGACATAGCCTGAGTTACTGAAGTCTTCAATACATGATTTAAAGATGTCAAGTTATGGAGAAACCACCATTTATGCTAGCTGAAACCAGCAAGTGCCCCATAGTGCAGAGAAGGCAACCTTATCCACCAAGGTCACTGTGTAACTATGTTTTCTATGCCACTATATGGGACAGTGAACCACGCCCACTAGATGTGTGGTTTACATACTCCCCCTAACCAAGGAAGCACATCCCAAGCTTCAGAAACCCAGTGGAGATCCTGAATTAGCCCCTACTTGTGATCACCATTGGGAGATTCAAACTTGGGGAACCTCTAGAACTCAGAGTAGAAGACTCTATAGCATGGGTTCCCAAACTGGGGGTTATGCCCCCCTGGGGGGGGTGCCAAATTTCCAGGGGGGGTGCGAGGCAACACCCCCAAGTTGTGCTGCTATTTTTGTTTTTTGGCCCCAGTAGGTTCCTTTTTTTTTTTTTTGCTCAACAAGTTTTGCTGCTATTGGGGGGGTGGGCGTGAGTGTTTCTCAAAAATCAGATAGGGGGTGTGATACCGAAAAGTTTGGGAACCACTGCTCTATAGCTTGAGCTATAAAGGCAGGAGTCTCTCTGTTTATGCTGTATAGCTCACTCATTCTTATCTCTTGCTGTAAAGTGCCACTACATGGGACAGTGAACCACATCCACTTGGTGTGTGGGTTACATCTGCAAATCTGATCCACTGAAAATTCCTTCCCAACTCCAAACATGGGGCCAGTCAGAACATGAATATTTTGGCAAAACCCACCAGCCAAACACTGAGGAAAAAATTCTCTGTACTGACTGAAAGCTATTGTGACCATATTTCCCTATGCTGAATATGAGACACCTGGTGAAATTACGTGTACTCAAGCGAGTTCAATGGCAATCATTCAGAACGATGCAGTACAAATGTTGACTGAGCCCGTTAAAAAGAAATACTGCACAGCTAGAGTCCTGTTATTTATACATACACACACCTACCTCCCTCATAAAGGGATAGGGGTGACTGACTAAGCTGACCTATCCTTCCCTGCCCAGTGCTTTCCACCCTCCATGCCTGGCTGGGCCACTGGGATGCCTCTCCAGGTGCTTGATGCTGTATCTTCCCCAGGCAACATATGGGGCCACACAGGATCATAGCCTCACCCTTCACAGATTTCTGTCAGGGTTCACACCAGAGGCTAGCCAGCATCAACCTTTCAGCACTCTGTAGGAGGGAAAAAATGGGAGCTTCATTCTGCACAGGGAAGTGGGAATGGGGTGTATAGATGACCTGGCCAATGTATTGACAAGGTCATCTCTTTCTCCCCGCCTCCTCCTACTCTCCTGTGGCAGCTTGTCCCTTCCTGCCTACACAGTGTTGAAAAGTAGCTAACATCTCCAAGCTGCTGCTGGCCACCAACATAACCCAGTCATTTCCTAATGCCTGGATAAAGTGCAGGCTGGAAAGGGGTACGCCCTAAGGATGCATTGAGCTCCAGAACCCTAAGGCTGTGTCTACACTGGTGCGATCTCGTGCAAAAGCAGCCGCTCTTGCGCAAAAACTTGCTGCCTGTCTACACTGGCTGCATGTTCTTGCCCAAGTGAACTGACATTCTAATGTATAAAATCAGGGCTTCTTGCACGAGAACTCTTACGCTCCTGCTCAGGAATAAGCCCTCTTGCGCAAGAGCTCTTCCAGAAGAGGCCAGTGTAGACAGGCAACATGAATTTCTTGCGCAAGAAAGCCCTATGGTTAAAATGGCCATCGGTGCTTTCTTGCGCAAGAGAGCGTCCACACTAGCATGGATGCTCTTGCACAAAAGAACATTTCTTGCGCAAAAGCACATGCCAGTGTAGACGCTCTCTTCTGGAAGAGTTTTTGTAGAAGAACTCTTCTGCAAAAGAGTTTTTGCGTGAGAAAATACACCAGTGTAGTCTTAGCCTGAGAATCTGTCTGCTGGGGCTTCAGTGAACCAGGCAATA